GTGCTCCTCGCTACTTCAGCTGGAATCTTGTGTATATACAGAAACTCTGTTGTAACGCTGCGTCCGTGGCCTAGTCCAATTTTCAAGGGCTCATGTCTGAAAGACATGCATAGGTGTTATTTGCCCAACATAATGTACATAAAATAAACAAAAAAATAGACAAATACCTAACCAGCCAAGGCACTCGCTGGGAAAGCACTTAGCCAGTGGACCTGTGTGTGCCACCAAAATCATTTGAATATGATGATTTGCTGCTCAAGAAACCTTTATAATTATTAATTGAATGTGTCCTTGCTGAATAAAAGTATTAATTTATTAAAATAAATATTGACCCTAATCTTTCAGACAGTGTTTTATATTAAAATTAAGATTTAGTGAAAACTTCAGTAGTTACTTCAACCTGAACCACTTAGCAACTTGATTCAAAAAGATGTGATAAGTTATTTTTATTTTTTTTATCTTCTGGCTTGCATTGATACGATGTTCAGCATTTAATATCTAACTGACAGGTGACATCATTGTATTTCCATACTGAACTGCATTTGGTCTTTTGTTTTACATTTACATACAGAGCTGTAATTGGCCTTGTTTTCCATGTTTCTATTTAACCATCTATGGCCACGTGCACATCATCTTTATATCACAAAATGTTTTCTTCTTTTCCGCATTCAACTTTTTTCTCTCAGGTGCTGCAGGAAGTCCTAAAATGCCACAGGCAGTAAGACGAAAGGCTCTTGCTGTGGTGGACAGCGTCTTTAACAAGTTTGATGATGAGGAGACAGAGGAAGCTCCCAAGAAGAGGAAGCTAGTACCTCTCGATTACAGTGAGGATGAGAGGGGAGGTCTTAGCCTAGATGGAGCAGAGGTCACGGGGACACGACCTGGTGTAAACACAGAAGAGAAACGAAAACATATCAAGAGTCTGATTGAGAAAATTCCCACAGTCAAACAAGAGCTGTTTAATTATCCACTGGACTGGAACATGGTGGACACGGTGAGAGAAAACACTATTAGATAAGCCTACAATGTGGCCTGTAATTACTCCAAGATATTGAACAATGATGTGTGTAGATGCTATGTATCAATTACACTTTTTCTCACTCAGACATTGATGGATAGGAGGATCCGCCCCTGGATCAATAAGAAAATCATAGAATACATTGGAGAGGAGGAGGCCACACTAGTTGACTTTGTCTGTTCCAAGGTATGTTTGTGTTACTATCTGGGTGATAATGTTGTCTGTTCTCCTTTCTTGGCATTACTTTGTTTTTTGTCTTATTGCAGGTCATGGCTCACAGCACACCAGAGGGAATTCTGGATGATGTTGCCATGGTAAATAGCACACGGAAAAGTGTCTACACACACACACACACCTAATAAATACACACCTAATATATACTATAATAAATCACTCAAAACTTGTAAAGTCAGTAATCAAATTTCTCCCAATTCCTTATGTCGCATTATATTTTATTTTATTAGAGTAGAACCATTAAGGTTGTTTGCATTGTGAAATGATTTATGACACTTAAGCACATTTATCATTATCACAGTGCCAAAAAATCTTATTGAATCCCATCAAATTATTATTATTCTCATACCAGTACCAGTAAGTAACCACAAAAACTATGAAGTATTTACATTTGTTTGAATGAAATCAGATTTTTAAAGTAATACAGTTTTTATAGTAATAGTTTTACTGTGTGGATAATCAGGGATGTGTTTTCTACAGGTACTGGATGAAGAAGCGGAAGTGTTTATAGTGAAAATGTGGAGACTTCTGATCTACGAAACAGAAGCCAAGAAAATCGGCCTTGTAAAATAACATAAACTGAGAGAGAGAAACGAGCAGGAGGGAGGGTGAAGGAAGCCTGGCTTCTCCTGCTTTTAGAGTCTTTAAATTAAAGTATGGTGGATGAACACCACAGACTGATGCACTTCAACTCTTCCTATATACTCTAGAGGACAGTTATGTGTGGACCTGTGTGCATGTGTACACTGGTGTGAGGTAGAGAGTGTGTGTGTGTGTGTGTGTAAGTGTACACGAATGTGTGTATGTATACACTGGTGTGAGAGAGAGTGTGTGTATGTGTGTGTGTATAATAGGCATGTGCCAGTTGGTCTGAAAGCATTGCCAAAACTGTTTAAAGTTGAAACTTTCTTTAATGCCCAGATTAAATGGAGTTTATTTCGGCTGACTGTTTTCCATTGACTTAGTTGTAGGTTTTATTTAATTCTCTTAAGTCTCAAATTTAGCACAACCAAGTTCAATCAGCTTACGCCCCCCCTTTTTTATTTACGTGAACTCAGTTGGTTTACTGTCTACTTTCCTCATTACAGAAAAGTATGATGATTTATCTTGTGTGTGTGCTGTATCAACAAAAAATAATGTTTAAATGGGGATTAAATATCTAATTGTAAATGTGCTGAATGAAGCCATACATGTGGAGAAATGGGATTTTCTCCAAGTTTGTCTGGTTTTGCAGCACTGGTTTTGAATGTGGTGTATTATGCACATACCAGCCCATTTGAAGGTTTGTTTCCATGGTGATTGCTTTGACTTTGAAATATTAAAATGTTTGATTTTCTAAACTGGAACCAGTACTTTTTTGCTACTTATCTCATTCTCTCTCTCTTTTTTTGTTTGTAGTTCTCAGATCTAAAATCATGCAGATACAAGTTGTTTTGAGATTTCACACTGCAATGTTGACAACAGATAAGTTTTTTTTTTTCTCTAATTGTGTTCTCTATTCAGAGTATTTTTTTACAAATGGCATTTGTAATTAATAGTATTAATGTCATTAATTTTTCATCTTTTTTGGTCATTAGTTTTATCAATTGTTTTGGCCTTCATAATTTTTTTTTTTACAGTTTACATTTAGCAAATTCATAATATGGAATTTAATAGTAGCCTCCTATTGTGACAACTGATTCATATAAAAGCATGTCCAAATAACTTGGTGGAAGTGTTCAAAAGCATTTAAAGGGATAGTTCACTCAAAAACATAATTTACTCTTAAGTTGTTCCAAACCTTTATGAGTTTCTTTCTTCTGAAATGTCATCTTCAAATTAAGATATTTTAAAGAATGTTGGTAACCAACCAACAGTTGATGGCAGCCATTGAAAAAAACGATACTATAAAATTCAATGGCTACTGTCAACTGTCTGGTTACCAACTTTCTTTGAAATGTATTTTGTGTTCAACAGAAGAAAGAAATTCGTACTGGTTTGGAACAACATAAAGGTGCGTAAATAACATTTTCCTTTTTGGGAGAACTGTCGCTTTCATGTTCTTGGTCAAAACAAATATGACTACATCTATACTGTCTGTTATTGTAATTCTACTAAAATGTCTAAGGGTGGCGCAATTGGCTTTATGCACAGCTTCACTACTTCCTGAATTTCAGCCAGCTCCTTGTTTCCTGTCTGCCATTATTGGACACATAATTCAGGTGTGCTTGACCTCAGTAGTCACTGCAACAATAATCAGACACACCTGAATTAATCAATTTTGCCCAATAATGGCAGACAGGAAACAAGGAGCTGGCTGAAGTTCAGGAACAGCTGTGCATAAAGCCAATTACTCGGGATGCAGGTTGTCGCCTCTCTGAGAAACGAGAATTAAATGTTGATTGACTAATACAAATTCAGAAATGATCTATTCTGTGTTTTATTTAGCACATACGTTATTTCTGTGATGTACGAATCAACTTGAACTTGATGGAAATATCCTTGTCGTGGCCTGCATGTGCAAGTATCTCGAGGTGAGTGAAGTGAACCACCAGTGAATTAATTATGCAAACTGTTCTACTCGGATATTTGGTGTCATTTCCTCGTGTTGCAACTGCGTTTGAGAAGAGAGAAAAAAAGATGTTTACATGTAGCTATGTGTTTTGCCACTGTTGTCAAACATCGTTTCAGTAATCATCACTAATGTTTGAGACTACATGATAGTCAGAGCCCATTTTCACCTGTCGCCAAATAGTGAACAAGTAACTACAGTAGCCTACCAGTAGCAGTTTTAACATTAAGTGGCATCTGACGCACAAAAGTCAATGGCACATGACATGTCACTATGCGTATTGGCACATCCGGTCTTCATTGGCATGTAACACATGTGTCACTGACATTTTCGCGACACTGACATTGTCAGGTGGACCGACACCGAGTCACGGAACATGTCGCCGTGTGTGTGTAACTTGTGACACCTCCAATACTGGTGACTGACAGATGACTCGAGCAGCTATACTGCCGTAATTGTGACACAAAATCCTAAATAAATAGCCTTTTTAATTTTGATATTGATATTTTAAATATCAATTAAATGCATTAATGTTAGTTGGCTAATATTTTTTTCAAACGTGTTATTTGTGTCACGTCTATTTGATTTCCATGTGCCACTGAATGTTTGGTAATATACCAGTGTTATTTTATGTTATTTATTTCGCAGTCACAAACCGCCCATTCTAGGAAATACACGAAATAAATCTATAATGACTACGAATAATAACGCTTTAACAGTCGCGTTTGTTACTGCAAACATTTATTTTTAGTTGTAGACTACCTGTAATATGCGCTAAAATGTGTTGTTTTTTTTAAAGCAAGTGCTCGTTGCCGCTGCTATCAGTGTCATTGATAAACTACAGTGTTTTCTTGTGGCTCGCGCACAGTCTTCACATGGACGCGCGCTCATGGAGGAAATACTCAACAATTGTGTTGACTAATGAATTTGTAGCTACATGGTTTGTCTTAAAGCATATTAAAAACAACATAGACATGGACAGCATTTAAAAGCTTGACTTTCAAATCTGCAGAGAATTTCGTTTAAACGGATCAAATGATTTTTAGGATGCGCACACTATTGACTTGATTTTTCGTAAGTTGCTCTAAAAGGCTGGAAATGCAGGAAACGCCAGGCGAGTGTCGGGTTATAGAGAGAGTGAGAGTGAGAGAGAGCGAGAGGGAGGGTGGGTGCGCATGGAGGAGGGGGAGACCTGTTACTGCTGTGCCAACTGCGCGCTTTCACTGCGCCAAGGCGCACAGATATTATCTGCTCGAATCAAGATATCAGTCTCCTGATTCTTTTTTCATCGAAGCTTTTTTCTTATTTACACAAAAACATGATTTAAGTGAACTCTTTAGCATGTCTGAAGTATTTTTGAACTCAATCTGCGTCCTGTTTTGACATGAGGATCCTGCGTCTCCGTGCGCCTTTTCACTACTCACCGTTTCTAACATTTAACAAGATTGAAATGTTTTGAGAGCAGGACTGTGAGGATGTGGACGCTACCGAGGACCCGTTTCGCACACTGTAACGGCTCGTCGAGCAGCGACGAGAAAGAAGTCGCCGTGAACATCGGCGGCGTGCGGTTGGTGCTGTGCGGGGACATTCTGAACCGCTATCCGGACAGCAGGCTCGCCGAACTTGTGAATTGCTCAACTCGGAGTTTTGATGTCATTTCATCACTCTGCGATGATTATGACCCTGGGAAACGAGAATTTTACTTCGACAGAGACCCTGACTCGTTTAAATGCATCGTAGAAGTGTACTATTTTGGGGAGATCCATATGAAGCGCGGGATCTGCCCTATTTGTTTTATTAAAGAGATGGAGTTTTGGAAGATTGACTTGAGCTACTTGGACGAATGCTGCAAGAGTAACTTGACCGAGAAGGAGGAAGAGTTGGCGGAGATTGCAGACAAGGTGAAACTGATCCTGGATGATTTGTACCCTGACCCTGCCGTGAGCCGCAATGAGAGGTGGCAAAAGTTCGTCTGGAAGCTCATGGAGAAACCGGACTCCTCGCTTCCCGCGCGCGTGATTGCCGTCGTGTCCTTTTTGTTCATTCTAGTTTCATCTGTGGTGATGTGTCTGGGGACTATACCGGACCTCCAGGTGGAGGATTCCGAAGGGAACCGCGTTGAGCACCCGACCCTGGATGCTATCGAGACGGCATGCATCGGCTGGTTCACGGTAGAGTATGTGCTGCGCCTTGCATCGTCCCCTAACAAGCTGCGCTTCGCTCTCTCCTTCATGAATATGATAGACTTCCTGGCCATTCTGCCCTTCTACGTTGTGCTGGTTCTCACGTACCTCGGCACGGCCATGATGGAACTGGCCAACGTGCAGCAGGCGGTCCAGGCTCTTCGCATCATGCGCATTGCGCGGATCTTTAAGCTGGCGCGCCATTCCTCTGGCCTGCAGACGCTTACATACGCGCTCAAACGGAGCTTCAAGGAGCTGGGTCTGCTCCTTATGTATATGGGAGTTGGCATCTTCGTGTTTTCCGCACTCGGGTACACCATGGAGCAGAGCCACCCGGAGACGTTGTTCAGAAGCATCCCGCAGTCCTTCTGGTGGGCCATCATTACCATGACCACTGTCGGCTACGGGGACATCTACCCAAAAACCACGCTGGGCCGGTGCAACGCGGCAATCAGCTTTCTGTGCGGGGTGATCGCCATAGCTCTGCCCATCCACCCCATCATCAATAACTTCGTCATCTATTACAACAAGCAGAAGGTGCTCGAGACTGCCGCTAAGCACGAGCTGGAACTCATGGAGCTGCGCGCGCTCGAGCTTACAGTCAAAAGCGCCTCGCGTAGGTCTGACGTGCCCGGGTGCGCGTGGGAAGGTGCCTTGCGCGCATCGCGTAGCGATACATTTATCCCGCTCCTTTATGGAGCGCACAGAACTGAGAAGGAGCCCGTGAAGAAGAAAAGTCTGACTTAGGATACAAGTGAAAAACTCGATAGCACTTTAAGTTTTACGAGAGTTTGTGTTATTATGGTCATTGTGCGCTATAAACTGCTGTGCTGCTACGTGACCGTCAAGCTGCTTGTGTTGTTTTCACTGGACATCAAAATGAGTTCCTCTTCAAAGTGTTATTTTGTCTTATTTAAATAAAGTGCATGTCAAACTTGATGCGTATATGTGTTTCAGATAATTATGGCGCCAATAAAATATTTAGACTCAAGTTCAACAAACACAGAAATCAGTACATACTCCCGAGGTCACAGTAGAAAAAATAATACAGTAGAAAAAAAAAAATAAAAATCAAGGATTTACTGGACAAACAACAAATCTGAGGTAAAGTATAATTCCACATATTGTTTTTATAATTTGAGTTGTGAAATGGTGAATGACTGAACTAAAACCATGAATTGGCAGCATAATAATTATTTACAAAACTAAATTAATGCACAAAATGTTACATTTGTACTTTTTTTTTAGTGTTACGACTGTTCCCAGTGGGGTAAATTTTAACATCATTACTTGTACTATTTAAAAAAAAATCATTTATTTGATCAAAATACAGTAAAACTGTAATATGAATACATCTTTCAGTATTTAGTTTGACACGATCTTCCAGAAATCATTCTAATTTTCAGATTTGGTGCTTGATTATTAACAGTATGATTATTCTACAATATTCTATGCTTGGGTTCTTATCGTTATCAATGTTAAAACATTTTTAATAACAGTTTTCTTCTGTTTAATATTTTTGTGGTTCCATTCTTTGAATACAAAGTTCAAAAACAGCATTTATTTAAAACATTTTATTACATTATAAATGTCTTTACAATAAGCTATTGCTTATTATAAAGCGCATTTTGTGTTCAGTGCTTTGAGAAGCTGTTTTTAAAGGCGCTGTATAAAATGGTTTATTATTATTATTTACTGTCACTTTTGATCAATTTAATCCATCTTTAGTCTTTACTGAAAAAAAAAATTCCCCCCCCCCTTTATAAGGTTACACAAAATTATGATTTCCTAAAATATATTGAGCTGCAAAAACAGGATTTTTTTTAAACATTTATTCAACTTGGTGAGCATAAGGAACTTCTTTAAAAACTAAGTTATTATTTTGTCCAGTTGTGTGTGTGTATATGTGTGTGTATATATATATATACATATATGTGTATATATACGTGTGTGTGTGTATATATATATATATATATATATATATATATATATATACACAGTATATAATTATATAATTCAAAAATAATTGCTAGGAAGCTGTGACAGACATGTAAATGCCAACTTTGTCTATTTTTATAATAGTGGTATTTTTTTTTCTTTAAATTCTCAGTATTATAAGGACTTACAAGCATGTACACATGAAATACAGATAATCTCAGACATTCTTTACTGGGAGGAAGAGTAACTGGGGTGAAGACAGAGCTACAGGTGAGTTTTGCTGTACCTTCCTCAAATTAAATAATTTATAGTCTCTAACTTTCTCTTTTGCAGTCTCTCTCTCTCATTTGTAATAGGTCTATGTGCTTGTTTAAATAATATATTATGTGTACTAAGGTTCACATATGGGCCACATTATTTGTTATTATTATTTGGCTCACAATGGGCGGAGTTATGAGGCGGCACTGTTTTGGTTTAGTTCTGGCTAAAAAGTAAGCAGGCCAGCAAACACGGATCTTATCTGGCCACACTTCAGCTGTTTATGCGGGCCAAATCTATGCCGAAGCAAATTGGCTAACTCGGAGGTGAGTCTTATCAAATTAAATAATTCACATAATCTCTAACGCTCTCATTCTCTCTTTTACTCTCTATATCCTGGTCAGTGCTAAACAGTTGTAAATGGGGTCCAAAACAGTTTGTGATTACTCGCAGCAAATTCAAACGTAGTCAGAAATGCATATGACCACATCACATTTGTAACAACATGGGTTTTGTCGTTGCATTGTAGTTATTATAGTGATCTATTGGCTGCAGTCTCTTGCGCCTAAAGTCAAGTGCACTATTTGTTCAGGTTAGCTTTAAAGAGTCAGCACAACAGGTGTCTATAAAGAGAAATGTTGCTTTGCATCTTGCGAGAGATTTACTCTCATCTTTATCCTGATGTCCAATTCCTGACTCAACAATCCAGCACAGAGATAAAAACAAATGAGTCAGAATCCACACAAACATGCTGAAATTCAGCAAAGAGCCACTAGAATAGGACCTCTAGCATGATGTGGGCTGTTGTGTCAGTCATGAGAGAGCGTTTATGGAGGGAATGTGGGTCTGATTGTTATATAGAGAAGCATTAAAACATGTCTGCACGGCAGGGGGTTCTCACATACACCCTGGAAACGCTCAGACAAGATGGCTACTCTACAAGCGCGATGAGACAGCTGACATGGTTTAGATTCACAGTGTGAGTAGTATGTTCTGTGTGGGTTTGTGTGAATAGTTTGAATGTTTCTTTCGGAGTGTACTGTAAGACTGGAAAAAAACTAGTTGAAGAGATACCTGACCACTGGTCCTTGCTGAAAATTAACATTTGACCCCCCCCCCCCCTCCCAAGTAAATCAAGAAAATAAACCCATGCAACCATAATAAAGCATCACCATCCAAAATCAAAATACTTAAATTTAAACACTAGAAGATTAGTCTTTAAAAATAAGTAAAAATTGAAGACACTTCAATTGAAGCACTGCTCGCATGATTTAACCTTAAACTCTAGCAGCTTTAACTTTTTTACCCTTTAATCATGATTTCAATCTTCATAATGTTAAATGTAACAAATGCTCACCGACTCCTTCCTTGTGTTCAAACAAACTTTAGTCCTGTAGTCTCACTTCCCCAGTTCTTCCATACATCTTCCCAGTCTGCTTACTATCCTTGAGTGAATCCAAATCCCCTAATTACCAGATTCTTCCCACCTGGAAAACATAATTCACTTTGCTATAGAAGCTTAAAATTTGGTACAGATACTCTCTAAGGGCCAGTATTTTGGAAAAAGACGTTGGCCACTCAAAAATTCAATATGGAATGCCAATTTTCAAGATGGACGCCATTGCTAAAATGCTTATTATATCAATTATTCAAACGGTGATCCAAGCATAATATTTGATACAAAAACTCTCTAAAGAACATGTTATTGGAAAAGATGCTTGTTCCTCAAAAATTCAAGATGGTTGGCTGCCATTTTTGAAGATGGCCACCGTTTGTAGAATATGAATTATTTAAATTGTTCAAATGGTGACGCAAGCATAAAATTTGGCAGACATAGTCTTCAAGTAACACTCTTTTGGAAAAAGGTATGTGCCACTCAAAAATCAAAATGGTCACCATCTTGAATTTTTGAGTGGCACACACGTGTGCTGTTCTCTGATTCGTTGTTCTCCTATTTTATTCCACCAATCAGCTCTCTTGGGCCCCCATCACCATGGGAACTTAGACTCCTCAGAACATCTATGCCACAGGATCTAAATGAAGATCTCTTCTCTTCTCTTCCCTTCGCTTCCCTTCGCTTCCCTTCGCTTTCCTTCCCTTCCCTTCCCTTCCCTTCCCTTCTCTTTTCTTCTCTTCTCACGCCTTCACATCTCATCTGTGCATTGGACCATGCGATTGAGTTCTTGTCCCGACAGACACATTCACACATCATTCTCATAGGGTTTCATACTTCATAGCTGAATATTACACTTTCCAGTTAATGCTACCATGATTACAGCTATTCTGCTGCTGTGTGCTGCACGTTCACAGCATGTTAATTATATAAGAAAGTTATTCCCTATGACAGACTAGAAACGTGAAGTGTGTTTGTGAAAGAGAGGCAGAAAAGTGAGCAGCTGGGGACTACAGTACAGTAGATGCATCTAATTAATATTAATAATAATAATACTTTGTGTAATTAATATATTTTTATTCCTGTCAAATCGATTAATCACATCTAACAAAAGTTTGTAAATATATAAAATGTGTATTTACAATACACACACACAAAATTTTATGTTAAATGCTATTAATCACGATTAATCCACTAATATTTGTATTAATCGTTTATATTTTGTAAGTTTTGCTCCAATCAATATATAATAATATATATTTTATAATAATATATCATATATTTTCTCGCATAATGCCTTTAAGTGTAAATTGCAGGTTAACCACCACAACCAATTAATGTGTTAATTAAAGTGCTCAATGTGTATAAATTAAAAAATTTCTGTCTTAAAATGCATTAAAATAACATTTATTTGGGTTTCTTCAAAGGTAGCATGTTTTCTTTTACAGTAACTAAGTCATGACGTCATAAGAGGGAGCGCGGGCGGGCGGTAATGCACTCACTCTGGGAGAATAAAACGGTTTGCATTACTTCCGCAAACTAGAAATATCTATGAATAAAACAAAAAAACTAATACATTTTTATTCATCTGTTGCCGAAAAGCAACAAGAACAACTAAAACAAAATGGAAATGATTTACAGTCCAGAGTTTCTATTTATAACATGTTTTCAGCATTGAGCGATGTAGCCAATCACAGACATATGTGTTGATTTCTAGGAATGCAATGGCCAATCAGAAGCATTTACGATAGACTCCCCTCACCACTCAACTGACTTTTTGTTCAGCGATGAATTCTGTATGCTGGCAAGTCCTCGAATTATAACAAAAAAAGTGTAGCTATTATGAAAAATGAATTGAAAATAACAGAGATGTGTGCGATCACAATGAAATTATTTAGAAATTATTATACTTGTTTTTATGTTATAACAGGTGGTTTGTGTGTTAATGCTTTAATAACCAATAATTTATCAGGAACATTTATACTGATGTGTATGGTGGCGACACGTAGGCTAACTTGAAAGTATTTGGAGGTACAGAAAAAAATGTTTTTGCGGGCGGGGCGGGATAAAATATATAAATGTTGCTGGAGGGAGAAAGTAACGTAGATAGTCCAGAACATCAGTTATAATAATGACCCACGTATTAAAAAATGGTCGGGTTTAAGTCGGGCTCGGGCTCATAATTACAGTCATTGTGTCGGGCCGGGCTGGGCTCGGACACAGCGTGCTCGGGTATGGGGTCAGACTTGCATGCCCAAGATCTATCTCGGGTATGCTAACACTTACACAAATCAGTCATTTGTCCTTGGGGAACTAGTGGAGACTCTCCCTGTTGTTGATCTGTTTGTTCATCCCT